AAAAATTATAATATCACACCAACAGTCAACAACAGAGGGAGAGGGAAGCTTCAGAAGGTTTTGGAGGTTTTTTAGCGTATTTCGCGGTCGCGTCCGCCATTAACGATTCGATTCGTTATTGTTTCGGAAATCGATTCGTTAATTTTTTACCATTTACGAAATTTCGTAAATATCGAACTTTTTAAAAGGAAAATTTTGTAATTATTTTAAATATCGAAACAAAAAAACCCCCCAAATACAAATCGATTTTAGAAACAAATTTTTCCGTTGTTACCCAGGCCTATTGGGGGTCATCACAACATGAGGAACTGTATTAAGGAGTCACGGCATTAGGAAGGTTGTGAAACACTGCTCTAGATCTATCCTTTACATAACACTTTGAGTTCTGATATGCAAACAATACAGAATTTTAAAAATGGCTTCAACCTCTGATCTGATTGAGAAATGCAAACATCGTGACCTGCCGAAGAATGTGCAATGCTCAGATCAGATAGTGGCTTGGCAGCCGAGATCAACCTGGTTGCTTTTGAGATCTACCACAATCTCCCAGACAGACACATCTCTTTCATTCGCGGATTGGGCCTCTGAATGTTGCATCCCACCCCACTGCTGTTGTCAGGCGTTCGGGGCTATTGTCTCTTTGCTTGTTGAGGAACCCCGCAAGCGAGAGAATAGCTTGGCCTCTCGCCAAACCACATCTGATGCAGCTTTCTGCCTGATGTGGCAGTGGAGAGACAGGTTGCAGAGGCTGCTTGAAATACAAAGCATGTTTTTTTTTTCGGATGGAAATGCACAGTCTTTTGTGCTCTTTTTTTTTTAACTCTTTGTGGCTCTAAATGTGATCTTCCCAATGTTTTGGGCTTCAGCTTCCAAACACGTGATGACTGTTTAGAGCAGGGGTTCTCAAAGGGTGCTCCGCGGAGCCTCTGGGGCTCCGATGCTGATAGTGATAAATGCTGCTTACTGCCTCCTCCTCATTCCTCCTTCTCGGAAATACAGGGAAATTAAAGTTTTGAGCAGCAGCAGCAGCATCCAAGGGCACAGACCGTTTCTCCCGTGTCCCTTGCTGCCCAGGCTATTTTTCTCCCCACCCACACCCCCTTTCTTTGCTTCCAAAATCCTATTTCCCTCCCATCACTCATGGGGTGCTTTGTGCTTTTTCCTGCATGGCAGAAGGGGTTTGGACTGGATGGCCTATTATTATTATTATTATTATTATTATTATTATTATTATTATTATTATTATTGAATGGCCTCTGGAGTTTCTGTTGTTGATGTTGTTGTTGTTACTATTACCAAGGCAGGGAGGCCATCTCTTAGGGTTCTTTGATTGTGTTTTTCCTGCATGG